GACGGTACGTCTCCAAATATGGTAGGGTAGGCCTCAATGAGGCCTTTCACATCCTCCTTCTCATCACTGGAAAGATAAGAAAGGTAGTCATTTAGGGTGGCAAGTATCATTGAATTTGAAAGTCGACCACCATGTTGACCTTCTCTACTTATTTTTAAACCATCATCATGGTTGAGGGGTACAGACACCAGAGCGACAGAAGCTGCCTTTGTAGTTTCACCACCAGTTTGGTCTTTGCATCCTCCTTCCCTGGACAGAAAAGGCTTCAACATGTTCACATGACACAGCCGGGTTTGGCGCCTCCTGTCAGGAGTGTGGACAATATAGTCTGTGTCATTTACTTTGGTTTTCACATAATATGGGCCGGTGAACTGGGCTGATAGAGAGGGGCCCGATGTGGGCACCAGCATAAGTACTTGGTCACCAGGCTGAAAAACACGCATTTTGGTCTTTTTGTCAAACAGACGCTTCATGTTGTGTTGGGCAGTGGACAAAGATGTCTTGGCTATGGAGCAAGCACGATATAGCCTTTCATGACAATGGGTGACAAAGTCAAGCACATTTGTTTGGGGTTGGGGGCCGGCAGACAAGAAGTTTTCCTTTAGTACCTTCAATGGCCCTCTTATTTTATGCCCAAAGATCAGTTCATTTGGGCTGAAACCAAGAGACTCTTGTTTCGCCTCACGAGCTGCAAACAATAAGAAAGGTAATCCTTCATCCCACTGTTTCTCAGTTTCAAAACAGTACTTTCGAATCATCGATTTTAAAGTCTGATGCCATCTTTCCAGTGCTCCCTGTGACTGGGGATGGTAAGGGCTAGATGTGAGATGTTTGATGCCAAAAGACTTTAACGTCTGTTTGAACAGTTTAGATAGAAAATTGCTGCCTTGATCGGTTTGTATGGTTCGTGGCAGTCCAAATATTGTGAAAAACTTAAGGAGTGCTTTACTTATTGCTGGAGCGGTGATTCTCCGAAGAGGAACAGCTTCAGGGAATCGGGTTGCAGCACACATTATCGTCAAGAGGAATTGATTACCGGTTCTTGTTTTTGGTAGAGGGCCCACACAGTCCACTAAAACATGCTCAAAAGGCTCACCAACAGCAGGAATGGGACTAAGGGGAAAAGGTGGTACCACCTGGTTGGGTTTTCCCACAATTTGGCAAACCTTGCACATTTTACAGTACCTGACAACATCTTTCTTCAAGCCCAGCCAGAAGAAATGCTGAAGGATGCGGTCGTAAGTTTTTGTTATCCCTTGATGACCAGACCAAGGGTGGTCATGTGCCAGATGCATTATTTCTTCTCGGTAGCCCTTTGGAATGACCACTTGGTGTACAACACCCCAATCATCATCACCGTCCTGTTGCAGGTCTGGTCGCGAAACCCACTTCCTTAAGAGCAGCCCATCCTCAAAGAAAAACTGGTGTGACAGTCTTTTATCTTTGTTGAGTGCCCCTTCAAAACATTTAAAAAGTGTTACATCACTTTTTTGAGCGTTGCTCAAACACTCACGTGAAACTGGTAGAGAAAGATCCTCTGGGTTAATGGTTGGGCTCAGATCAACAGGTTCGAGTTCAGAAGGGTCAGCAGCTGATAGCCGGTCCTCTATCAAAGCCGATCCTAAAAGGGAATCACTCAAGTTTAGGTCCTCCAGCTTATTAGCCTGGGACCTAGTAAGGACACTAGCAGAAAGCACATCCGGATGGGATCGCAACAGGTCATCTTCTTCTAACAGGGACTTCGGTTTATCCACCACCACAGGCATAGGAATCACCTTGTCCCCTGCAATATCATTTCCCATTATGAAATCAACTCCAGCGACAGGAAATGACTGTCTCACAGCCACATCAAAGACACCTGAAGCCAACTTTGACTTTATAAAGACCTGATGTAATGGTACCGGTACATAGTCCATCCCAATCCCTTGTACTATTGTACTGGCTTTACAGGATGAAGTACTACTTAAGGGCAGACAATCAGACAGAATAAATGACTGGGAACCACCAGTGTCCCTCAGAATCTTTACTGGTTTCTGATCTTCCTGCTGACCTGTCAAAGAGACAAAACCATCAAAGATGAAAGGTTTAAAACATACATCAGGTTCTTCCAGAGCAGTTGGCAGTGGTGAGGGCCCAAGCGTTTTGATCAGGTTAACACCTTTAGTTGGCTTTGGTCCTTGAGGCACCTGTTTAAGTTTAAGGGCCCAGCACTCAGAAACTATATGTCCCACTTTGTGACAAAAAAAACATTGTCTTTCTGAGTTAGAACTCTGGGAACCTTTGGCTGGGTGGTATGGAGGTTTAAACTCTTTCCGAATCTGATCACGAGGAGAAGAATCAGACTTGCTCACAAAAATGTTCTTGTGTGTTAAAGCGAACTCGTCCGCTAGGACAGCTGCCTCTTGGAGGACGTTCACTTTTTGTTCATTTAAGTATAATGCCGTTCGCTCGGGAACACAGTTCTTGAACTCCTCCAGCAACATCAACTCGCGTAGTGAGTTAAAGTCTGTAGCTTTGCTTGCCTGACACCATCTGTCAAAAAGCATTTCTTTTTCTCGGGCAAACTCCACAAAGGTTTGGGTGGCTGTCCTCCTTTGGGTTCTAAAACGCTGCCGATAGGCCTCAGGCACCAACTCATATGCCCTTAGGATGGCATTTTTCACTTTGTCATACACAAGACTGTCCTCCATGGACAGCGCTGCACATACCTCCTGGGCTTTACCTGCCAATTTACACTGCAGCAAAAGAGACCAAACTTCCTTGGGCCAATGCAGAGCTACAGCAATGCGCTCAAAGGCATAGAAGTATGCCTCCACTTCAGTCTCTCGAAAAGGAGGAACCAAAACAATGTTCTTTCCTACATCAAACGAGGAAGGGGCTGGAGTAGTGGACGGGTTAACAGACACCCTACCCTCGTCCTCTTCATACTTGTCAGGAGAAGAAGAAGGCAGTTCAGGGGACAGTTTCTTAGACTGCAACTCCATCTCACGTATTTGAATTGTGGTTTCAGCCTCTATTTGCCGACACTTCAACTGGAAATTTAGTTCATCTCTGCGTTCCTTCTCTCTTGCTTCAAGCTCTAGCCGTACAAGACGTACCTTTAAGCGTGCACTAACATTAGAAGGTGCTGTCTCTGGGGAGAACGGCACAAAACGTAGAAGAGAGGCTGGGGGCTTTTCGTCCACTGGCCCATCCGTAGGGGTCCTGGCTCCTTCCACAGCCAGCTCGTCCAAAGGTTCGGCAGGTTCAGGTACAGACGAGGCATCCGCCTTGTCCTCCCCCTGAGGGAATACACCATTTTCAACCAGACCGTTAAACACAAGCAACTTCAAATCACGTTTCAGCATACTCTTTGTCACTGTGATACCAAAATGGGATGCAATTAAACACAAATCATCCTTTCTACACACATTAAACTGTTCTAGAGTGGGATTACTCACAAACGCCAACAAATCAAACTGCGCCATGTTCAAAAAAAGAATAATCCCGGACGAGCCGCCACTTATGTTACAACCCTTGAGAAATTAGCGGTCCAGGAGGTTAGGGTGTAACACAAAAAAATAACTAAAAATTGAAAGAAGGCATTTAATATACAAATAAAAGAAAAACAACCAGGAACTTCTTAACACTATAACAAAAAGAGGGAAGTAGTTCAACGTCAGGGTCTCCAGGCCAAAACAACAAACAAAACCACCCCTTTAGCTAAAACAAAAAACATGCAACCCTTCTCTAATGAAAAGAAACAAATACAATGCCTGGGCTACACTGGCTGTCCACAAAACAGGAGAAAACGGTGCATCAAAGAAAAAGGCAGAGAACCCCTACCAAATACTTCCCAACTAATAAAACAATGAACTTCTAGTACAACCAGTATCACTAAATACTAGTGATGGGACGAACGACACTGGCGCGTCAGCACAGTGTCGACTGCACAAGAGTGAAACCCCGTATCGGTGCGTGTATCGCTTTAAGAAAATATCACGTGACCGACACAGGATTGTGTGTCGTTTGGATGCGCCGCGCCAAATTGTGTTTATAAGGAAACAAACTGTATCGACATGTTGCGGATTTGTTGGTTAGAGTTTTGCTGTTTGATTTTGGATTTTTCCTTACTCTCACGCTCACTTTTCTCCGCTGACTTCATGGATCGTTCCTAGAAGTTTTCCCCAGTCTGGAATAATTTTGATCTTTTGACGCCAAAAAAGGTAAATTGTTTTCTCCATTTGGCAACGTTTACTGTTATTTCTGTATTGTAAATGTGTTTGTAGTCTTTCTCTGGTAAGAGGCTTAAATTGTTTTCAGATAAATTAACTATTTATTTTATTGTAGGTGAAGTGTCGGCTCTGCTCCACAGAGCTGTCTTACTCAAATAAGAGCACTTCATCAATGCTGAGGCATTAGAGTTCGGCATGGCAACGATGAATTGGTAGATACCCCAGGTATGTTGAAATTATCACCAAAAAATCTGAATTGTCAAAATTAGTCTATTACACACAAAAGGCTTTGTGTGACTCTGTAGTATTGCTTGTAAAATCCTTTTCATAAGCTTTCTAAAGCTTTTAAAAAAGTATTTCTTTTTGGCTTGCAGTTCCTAACAAGCAAGCAGTGGATGATGCTGTGGTTAAAATGATCATCAAAGACTGCCAGCCACTCACCATTGTTGAAAATGAGGGATTCAGGGAGCTCCTGAAGCTTATTGCACCCTCATATGTTCTACCAAGCAGGAAGGTATGTTTAAGAAATGTTTGCTTTAATTAATCAACTACTTTCATGGTGTGTGTGTGTGTGTGTGTGTGTGTGTGTGTGTGTGTGTGTGTGTGTGTGTGTGTGTGTGTGTGTGTGTGTGTGTAACATTGGTATTACAGTATTGGTATGTTTACTTGTAGGTCATCAAGGACTTGGTGAGCCAGAAATATGAAGAGGAAAAGGAGAAAACAAAAAAGGACCTCCAGAGCGTCATTGCTGTTAGTTTAACAGCTGATATGTGGACATCCATTAATATGGAGGCATATCTTGCCATTACTTGCCACTATGTGGACAAAGAAAGCCATGAACTCTGTTCATCAGTCTTGGGAGTGCAGCATTTCCCTCAGAAACACACTGCAGAAAACATGGCCACAGTTAAAAGGAGCCTCATGAAGGAGTGGGGCATAGCAGGCAAAGTCAGGTGTCTTGTCACTGATGCAGCAGCAAACATGATTGCATGTGCTCGAATGCTGCAAGTACGGCAAACCATTTGCATTGCCCATTCCATAAATTTAATTGTAAGAAAGTCATGTGATCAAATCTCAACACTAACAGAACTACGCAACAAAGCACGGCAAATTGTGACATACTTTCGATCAAGCACCATGGCCAAGGAAAAGCTCACTCAAATGCAGCAACAGCTGGGAACACCATTGCATAAATTAATAAATGAGGTGCCGACACAATGGAACAGCACCTACCACATGCTGGAGAGATTGACTGAGCAGAAGGAGGCAGTCTGGGTGTCACTGGCCTCATTAAAAACTGATCTCACTCCACTGACTCCAGAAGAATTTGAAATCATTGAAGAGATGCTCAGGGTGCTTGCTCCTTTTTACCAAGCCACAAGAGAACTCTCTGAGGAAAAAAGAGTCTCGGGGTCAAAGGTTATTCCATTGATGAGAATGATCCACATTGAGCTTCAACATCAATCTTCAACGGTGACAAAACCCACTGCTAAACAGCTGGCTGAAAATCTGTCAAAGCGGCTAACCGAGTCCATCTGCAACATGGAATCGCTCAGTGTGATGTCACTGGCAACATTGTTGGACCCCAGGTTTAAAACTGCTGGCTTTTTTAGTCCACTGAAAGCAACTGAAGCTGTCAAGAGACTGAAGTCAGAGTGTGCTGCTGAAATGAGGAGCCATGAGCCTGACCCAGCAGTAGAGGAGCCTAGCACTTCACATGGATCAGAACACAGTTCAGGTATGAAAACACATTTCTTTGTGAATATTTGTTTATTTCTGCGGAAGTTTGTCATGTGATAGTAAACCAATGATTAACAGACTTATTTCCAATTTATTTGTTAGGACACAATCTCTGGAGGCACCTTGATATGGAGGTTGAGGAGAGCAGGATGACCTCTAATACTACAGCCAATTCCATAATTGAAGTCCAACGCTACCTGGCTGAAAGAAATGCACCAAGAACACAAGACCCATTACAATATTGGAAAAATAACCAGAATTTATATCCACACCTTTATCAACTCGCACTTCAATTCTTATGCACACCATCTTCATCTGTACCCTGTGAAAGAGTGTTTTCTAAGGCAGGGGAACTGGTGTCTAAGAGGAGAAATCGCCTTGGAGCAAACTTACTGCACAAACTTTTGTTCCTCAATAAAAATGCATAAATGAATCCATATTTAGTCTTTTATTTTGTATGATCTAACACAGAGGTTAACACATTTACACAAGTTAAAACTTTTACTTCTGATTTTTATTAGACACATTCAGAAGATTTAACATGCCAACTCATTGTAGCATTTACACAAAGGTTACAAGCAAATGTTAAACTCCTTTCATAAAGAACTTAACAAATTGAGTAAATTAAATTGCATAATGATATAATATTTTGATTACAGGAAATTAAATCTTGCACACCTGGTGTGGGTTTGCAGCATGTAACCTTTTCCATCTTATTTACCTGCAATGATTTTAGAAATACTGCAGGTGTCGCTATTGAGTGACCAACACAGTGTCAATACAGTGCCGACACAGTTTGGCTAGTGTGTCAATACACTCCTTGAGGTATCATCATTCCATCACTACTAAATACTACTGGTATCACAGTAGCTTATGCTACACAGGTTTTAACACCTTCACAATCACCAAAACAGTCTGTGCCCAGGAGTTAGGGGCTGGGGTGCTGGCTGGCTGGAGCTTTTATGCAGGTCCATTGATGAGGAGCAAATGATCCCAGCTGGGCACCGGGGTGTGGCAGCAAACCTGCAAACAAACACCAAACAGGAAGCTCTCTACTCCTAGAGAGCCCCTACAGGTCAATGGACGTAACAGTCCTCACAGAGACTTTCATCATTTTTGACCACCTCCCAGTGCCACTGTGTTGCTGCCTGATTTGGTTTGAGGTTGTCCTTCTATTTTTCTCTTCATAGTAATCCAAGTGAAGTTGGACTATTTTGCTGTAACCACCTCTTTGTGATCAGTTTGATCTCTTCCAAGAACCTGCTCTGCAAACTGCCATTCCTCAACTCTCACTCACCTGGAGTTCCAACCACCTGCCCATTCTCCACAACTGTTTATTTCTTCAAACTTGACTGGATCCTCCTCCTCTTGAGACCTAAAGCAGATAAATCCAATAACAATTATCTGAGCCGACACTAAAATTCCTTGCCTCTTCTCCCAGACCTCCTGAGTCCTCTGCTTCAGTTCCAGTATCACAACTTTATATGATAAACATTAATGATTTCACATTGTTTCCCACAACTTATGGCAGTGACTGATTATTTCACGAACAGCCATGTGACCATGTTAAAACTAATACTTAAACAACTGTTGAACAATTGCACGCTTGTCGCTTTGGATAAAAGCATGTGCCAAATAAATAAAGATATACATAAATTGCATGGCCCTATGTCAGGGCCCAGGGTGTCAAACTCAAAATCACACTGGGCTGAAATGAAAAACTGGGATGAAGTTGCGGTCCAAACTCCTAATATTTTTTAAGGGACGGCAAATGTGCATATTTTCCTTTATCTACAGATATGTATGACTGAACCCTTTCATTTGGAAACAAACTTATTTTTGCAATAAAATTGATTGTGGAATAACCTAATTACATGAGCAAATTTATTTTAAGTAAAGCACACATCAGTGGTATTCGATACTTATTATTCCTCATTTTTGCATTAATTTTATTCCTTAAATTGTGTATGAGTGTGTCACTAAACTGGAGTTAAATCATCGCGGACTGGAAGTTGGTTGGTGCACTTTCTATTTCGGCCAAGAACAGATTACTGAGTAGTTAAAATCCATTTCTGAGCTTCAAAGTTGGCAAATTGATAAGTGAACCCGGCGCTGAGTAAGAGGGGTGTTTTCAGTTTGTCCGAGACTGAGGAGGGTAACGCTGGGGACACCAGTACTGGTAGCATGGAAGCTAATGAATGGCCTAGTTTGAGATGAGCAGCACCTCGCCAGGATAACAGACAAGAGCAGGCGAACACAGCAGGGGGAGTGGCTAAAAGCTGGCTTTAAGTCGGACAGATTTTCCTACATAAGTAGTTTGTGGGTGAAGATGGATGAAGAAATCGCGTTAGCATTCATATTTGTTTAATCTTAATTCATTCTTAGCAACTGAAACACACATCCTCACATGCTTGTGGAAATCCACATTTTTATATTCTCAGACTATCTTTTGTGGATTCACATGAAGAAGAACATGACTTTTTTCACAAAGTTTTTCCACTCACATTTAGCAGAAGAAAATTAAATGGGAAATTTGAAACTGGCCTGCAGTTTCAGCATTCTGGTTAACTCCTACGACTCTCTCTCAGGGTCGTAAATTGCACCAGTTTGACTGGTCTCCCTACTGCGCCAATCAGGAGGCGCAGGACTAATATCAGAAACTGGCCTGTTTTACATAAACTCAGACTGACCCTTTTCCTCAAGATGGGGTAAGTCGTGAGACCTCTCTTATGTCCTGGGAGCTTCAAGGCTTGAGTCTTTATAAACCTTGTATTCCTGTTTATCTACAATCAAAGAAGGTATTTAGGTTGTTTACCCTTAAAGTAAAACTTGGGATGTTCAAAGTAAATGTTAAATTCTTATCAGTTACAACCCTAGATAAATGTTTATGTCTTTCTTTCATGTTAAACATCTGCAATTTTGTTTCTCCAGTTAAAATTCATGCTAATTGTAAAACTGTCCAGTTTTAAGAACTGAAGTTAGTTCTTCCCTGTTTAAAGTAATGCTTTTGTTGCCTTATAATAAGTTGGTAAATGGTGATATGAACAATTCACAGTTGGAAAAATTGAAATATTTGAAAGAGCCACAGTGCCATCCAGTGTTTAATGAGTAAAATACATGTGGGTGTGGCCTAAACCCCCACAATGTGGGTGAAAAATTGAAGCAAACACAGAAATGAAATAAATTGCAGTTCCACCCTCTTCCGCTGGGGGCTGGTGTCAGAAGCGAGCAAATCCTCTTTGACTCCCATGTTAAAAATACCAATTTTACAGCAGAAATAAACATGTTTACAGCCTGGTTCCAAAACATGGTTTTTGTTTAAATTATCTAGTTTACACTCATGACAACTCTGGGGGGGATTTTTTTCTCACTCCTCTGTTTAAGTGTATTAAAAGCCTAAAATTCTGTATAATTAATGAGCATCAGACCCACGTGACTGCAGAGCTAGCGCCGGGGAAAGGCCTCAGTCTGAGCCTCGGCCTCGCCTGAAAACTGTTCGGTCATTTTCAGTCTCTCAACTTAGACTATTAGTTGTGCATTTGTGTGTTCTTTTTTGGATATTATTTGTGCAATTGTTGGACAAAATGACTTGCTGTTGCATTAATTGCACTACTAGAGCATCCAAGGAGTCTCCACTTCATTTTTTTCGGTAAGTAAAATTATATTTATGTATTTTAGGTCACTGCCGCTCTTACACTAGCTGAGCTTACATTTTAACATGTACTGTTTAACCATGAAATTTAAATTTAATAGGGTAAAACCCAGTGCATTTAACATAATGCTGCACTTTAGAAAATGGGTTGAAATATGACATGTTGTTGGAGCTGGGTTCCGACTATCGGCTTGTGGAGCTCTCGGGAGACCTCTGTTTTCCACCTGGTTCTCCCCTCCCTGCAGCTTGGCGCATCTCTGTCTGATTGCGGCTTCTGTCTGCTGCGTGGGCTGTTGGCTTGTGGAGCTCTGGATGGAAACTGATGTTTTCCACCCAGTTCTCCCCTCCCCGCAGCTTGGCGCATCTCCGTCTGATCGCGGCTTCTGTCTGCTGCGCGGGCTGCCGGCTTGTGGAGCTCTGGGATGGAAACCTATCCACCCGGTTTGTTACGACACCTGGGTTTTACAATGGTTGGTCGTATTATTATTATTACTGTTTAGTCAGAATTTGTTCCCCTGTTTTGGTAGTTTTCTTCCCATTGTTTTGTTTTCTTTTGGAGTGACAACACCAGACCCAGAGACAAGATGGCTGCCTCCATGCTGTTGTCCAGTAACCATGGAAACCACAATGAGCACCGGCAGCCTCATCACCAGTAGATCCCTCCACAGTTCTTCAGGTGGAAGCAATTGGACTAATTGTTTTCTCTGGATCTGGAAAGGATAAAAGGCTGGAGGAACTTTCATTCTAGGAGCTACTTGTAACCAAGTAGACTCCCTTTGGGCTGGTTTCAGGGTTTTAGAAGTTTAAACATCTTGAAAGAAAATAATTCCTCAGCTTTTATTAAGTCTCTCTTTGGGTTTAGTAATTACTCTTGGTAAAAGAACTACAGTGGTCACTGTTAGAGTTTGAGAGTCTTTTGTGGTTAAGTCGCTGAATTGTGTAGAAGGTGAAAGCTTCTTTAGGTTTTGGAAATAACCCTGAGTCTTTTAGTTAATCCATCCCACATTTTTCTTTCTTTTGTACCATCCTGTTGGACACTTAGGTCTGAATGGTTTTCTTTTGGTGCTGCCAGTTAAAATATCTGAGCCTTAGTCTCCTGCTTTATTTTATATGAACATTGGACTCTGAGTTTTATGGGCTGTGTTAGTGTATTTCTGTTAGGATTTCCAGCCCTTGGTTTTGTGTTATCCTCTAATGTTTTAATAAATTTGTTTTTCTTTACACAAGTTCCTTCTTGCCTCCCTGGTTTCCCCTCCCTGAAGAAGGTAAAACATAACAAGTGGGGGCTCGTCCGGGATATTATCCTTTAATGTTCACATCTTAATCCTGGAAGCCTTCTTCACCATTTCCCATATTTTCTCTCCTGAAGTGACCTTGTGTGTGTGTAGAATTCTGTAGACTAATGATATGTCTGTCTTTGATTTAAAGGCTTTCTTAGAGGCACCTTCCCGTAGCCAGATAGAGGGATGTCGCAAACAGGATTTAGTAGAGGTGGCTGTGCACCTTGGCCTCACTGGGGCTCAGCAGATGCGGAAGTTGGAGCTACGAAAACGGATTGTGCTTGAAATGGAACAATTGAAACTGTTTCCCCCTGTTAATCCACTCCTCCTCCAGCAGGGGGCAAATCACGAGAAGGGCGATGGTGGAACTGTGGCCAGGGACTATGCAGACCGGGAGACAGACACCGAGGAACAGAAGGTGACCCCACCTCCAGGTGAAAGACAGTTGGCTCCTTCTGTCTCAATTCCTCGCTATGATCCAATGTCTTCAGACTCCT